ACCTGTTTGGGGAAGGAGCTCACACATGGACCTCATTGATATCCAGCTAAATGTGGTTAGAAGACTTGTAACAGGCACCCTGAAGTCCATTCCACTGTGTTGGCTTCCAGTCTTTGCAAACATCCTTCCTCCAACCATCCGGCGAGAGATGGCGACGTTGCACAAGTACAAGAAAGCTCTCACTGACCAAAAGCTCCCGCTCCATGACAACCTAGTTCACACACCTCACACTCGTTGTAAGTCTTGCTGACCATTCTGGGCAGCTGGAGAAGCTCTTCTGTCATCCAACTTCAACCCAGAAGACACCTGGTGGATACAGGCTCTGAGGTAAACAACAAGCTCCTCACAAATGATCCCACCTGGTTCCTTGCTCCGTCAAAGACAGTGGATGACCATCAACCATATTAGGATGTCCCATGGAAGATGCATACACCTGATGCACAAATGGAGAATCAACAATTCACCACAGTGTGCATGCGGAGACCTCCAAAGCATCAAACACATTGTGAAGAAGTGCTCCATCTTTTCATTCCCAGGAGGTCTAGCAAAGGTGCACTCTGCATCTCCTGAAGTCCTCGAATGGATTTCTAATCTTTGTATTAACTTGTAAATGTTGCTATTTCCAGCGGAAAAAAGAAAATTCAGTATGGGAGGATTTAGGCTTCTTAAATCCCTCAAAAATTGTATCTTCCAACCTCATTTGTGGCTGTCCTTATGCTCTACATCCTTCAACCTCAGCTCTTTAAACCTTCTGTAGAAGGGCACCTTCTTCTGCACGTTGGACATGACCTCACCACTGCCGTCATCTTATTCTGCACTGGTGCAAGACTTCAATTTGCCAGGATCGCCTCATTTGTGACAAAGCAACTCGGGAAATCACATCCGCTCTTGTGAGATTGCAGACAGGGCATACTGCAGGAATGAAAATCAACAGCGAAAGGACCAGGATCTCTCCTCTGTGCATGCTTTAACTCTTGCCCACACTGTTCGATGTAATATTGCAAGGAAAGGGAAGCTTTTCAGATCAAACACCCTTCCAGAGGACCCCATGTGAGGCGCCCAATTCATTCTCAAACGTCACGGCCTGATATGATCATTGCGGGACACGATAACAACTGTCACAAGCCATTCTTACTGGAAACCATTCTAATTAACGCACACGTTCTAAACAGACAGAATTGTTTCCCCTGCCCGGTCTCTCTCGCTCTCTGGCCTTAGGATAAACAACCTCAGAACAAGAATGATTTGAATGCTGTCACCTTATCAAGCCCAGAAATTCAATTTCCCAGTGGCTGAACTACAAAGGCCTGAAGTCTGAATGTGATGCTGCCGTCCCGTATAGCTTACTACCATACGCTCCAGGGCTGCATTCTCCTTCCTATTGTCCCAGAGCTGAGAGTGCCAAGGAAGCTCCAAACCCCTCCCTGGACCAGCAGGAAGGAGATTAGATGCTGCAGGCTGGCACCGTTGCTTCAGGGTTTCTGCGGAGCTTTTTCCTTCTGTCCTACGGTTCCCTTGTCTGCCTGAATCTTTTTACAGTGTGAAGAGGGACCTTTGTGGACTGGCCCATTGCTCTGTTGCAGCCCCCTGATCTATTGCTATGGGGAGACGCTTGTGCTGATAATCTCATTTCCATTCCAGCACTTCATGGCTTGCTAGTTTCATTCAGTTTCATGTTCCTGGCAGTAGAAGCTCATGGGCCTCTGAGCATGGGTGACTCCTCCCAAGGCCTGAGCCCGATCCAAATTCTGGTTGAAACATTGACCTCAGTTCTCCTCCCCTGTTTCTTTCTGAAGCTGTCACTTGTTTCCCCTCCCACCCCCTAGCTGTGACAGCCATCCCAGTACTCCAGCTACTTAAACCCTGGAGTGCTCTAGGCTGCTCATGTGGGTGCACAGCTTAAATCTCCCATTCCTCCAAGGGAGGGCCGACCAGGTCACGTCTGTCATGGACTTGGTCTCAAAATCAAGTCCAGGGCCACTCTCAAAACCGGACCGATATGTGCTGCTGCTTAGCCAGGCTGGATCTCTCGATATGCAGGTTCTCCGATTGGCACCCAGCCATCTGAGAGCCTCTTGGTTTTATGTTGTTCGAGGGACTGGAAAAGCTGTGCCAGGATATTGCGGGGACATGGCCAAAAGAAGCAGCATGGTTATGAAATCTAGTTTAGCCACAGGGCGTTTGTTCGCCCAGTCCGGCCGACAGTACTTACAGCCGAGTAGCTCTGGGGAACTGGCCTTTTCCTGAAAGGCGGGCGAGGGGTTTGGCTGCATGTGACTGGCTAAGCTCACGCGCCCAGGCCAACAGGCTCACACAGAGCTCTGATAGGAAACGTGTTTATGTTCTTTCTCCCTCATTCATTGCCTGGCACAGAGCTGGGAGATGGCGGCCTTCTGAGCAGCCGTGGGAACCAGGATGGGACACGTACAGTAAGTTAAGAAGATTTCGGAGAGCTCAGCCGTGACCTCCATATCCAGCAATGGTGATTGCCGGGGGGAAGCAGTGCTATTTTGTCTCTGCAGTTTCATTTACTCGACAAGTCAGTGAACTCCCTCCAGTGCCACAGAATTGGTTTGAAGATGTGACACAACTCGGTCCTTGAAGGGGACGTGCCTAAAGCACTGGACTGGGACCCAGGAGATAATCAGCCACTGGCCTGCTGGGTGATCTTGGGCAAGCCCTTTCACCTCTCCATGACTCAGTTTCCCCATCTGTAAAATGGGAGTAAAGCTCTTGGAGCTCCACTGATGACAAGTACGATGAAAACTGGGTATTATGATTGCCCACAAGGTGTTGTAAAGGGCCAGGCTGTGCTTTACTGCTCAAGGAATGTGAAAGGTCAAGCAGGGGCCGAGGTGCCAGGGGCTTCCTCATATCCCTGCGCAGCAACAGGGCACCAGTGCGTTCTCTGTACTCTGGTCCCCGGCCTCTCTGTGCTGGAGCGCTCCTGGAGCCCCCGGGGGAAGTGCACGTCTGCCCCACTGGCTGCAGATATCTGTGCTTGAACTGACAGGAGAGAGTCTGTCGTCTGTCTCCAGGGTGGTTGCATCTGGCTCTAACGCAGCTGCACAGACCTAAGCCCGGGAGATGTTATCGGGCTGGTAGAAAGCCTACAAAGCAACGTCCCAAGTGCATGTGTATTTAGATTAAACACCAACACGGATTTCAAACTCCAGATGTAAATGGCTTCAGGATTACGCAAAGATAATGGGCCAGAGACTTAGCTGGGGTAGGCGAGCGTCTCAATGGAGCTACCCCCCATCTACACCGGTGGAGAATCTGGCCCAATATTGGTAGGGGGAAGAAACGCCCAGCGTCCGATAGCTAACCACTCCACTACAGGGTTGTTTGTGGGCTGTGCACCAGGGATCTGATCCAATGCCCACTGAACCCAAGGGCAAGATACCCATTGCCTTTAGTGGTATTAGCTAAGGCCCCACTTGGGGGAAAGTCTGTGGGTTTGCGTCTCCCATGAATGTGCAGGGGGAGTTTCCATGGGGAATGGCCATCAGTGAGTAGGTGCTGTGTGTCAGATCCTCCTATGTAGCCATGTGCGCATGGCCTCTAGTCTCCTTCCTGTGTCTGATGATACTATAGCATAAAAGGAAGGCGCATGAACCTCTCACCACAGGGTGCGGGTGCTGGAAAGAATCAGACACATTTCATCTTGTTGATGAAGGAAGCTTGAGAAGCAGCCATTGGAGTAACGTGCTAAGGTACCCGAGTGATGAGAGCAGGCTTAAAAAATGAACAAACCAACAAAAAAACCCAATCCCTAGCTGGATGGCAGCTGAATGCACAACACTACATTGTTTATCAAGCCACTGAGCCAAATTCTTCCCAGGAGTAGTGCCAGTGATGTAACCTCGGGGCAAATTTGACCCATGAGCTTCTCTGGGGCTGCAGGTGTGAAACTGGGAGCAGAATCTGTCCCAAGCACTGTATGATAGCACACACTATTCTGCATTCATAATGCAAGACATGCGGCATGGTGATGTCACAAAACCAGCCATTTTTCATTGTCTGATGTGAGCTACGGAAAAAAAAAAGTCTAAAAAGAGGCGGATTGGGTCTAACTTGTGAGCTCAGTACACATCTGGAGTAACTCCATTGAAATCAATGGAACTCTGCTGGTTCACACCTGCTCAGGATCTGGCCTGTAGAATTTAATACAGAATGATCTCCTTTTGATAGCTTTTAGAACCATCCAAGGGCTCCATTAACAGGGAGGGGTCCATCAAACTCTATGGGAGGGATCAAAATGTCTATAGAACTCTTAGCATTTATTACAATCCAAAGGGTATTTTCATAAGAGGAGTTTAAACCTTAATTGCTTTCTCATAAATATATATTTTAACAAATACTCTTACTCTGAAATGTTTCTTTAAGAAGGAAAATAGCTCGTGACAGAGAGTAGAACAGGCCTTGATTTTTTATATTTTTTTAAGGACAAATGGTATCTCCTTGTTATCTGTGCTGGGTATTTTCTGATAATAAAGCCACAAATACCGTATCCCTTTTGGGGAGGAAGTCGAGGTAATATATACTGACTGTAATCTGTAATTGTAGCATGTCGTGCTATTGATATGGGTTATTTTGGTGCCATTTTACACTATGCTAAACATGAGACTTTGGATTCTAACTCTGGCTATGTTACGAGTGAAAGCAATCGGCGGTCTTAGTCTACTCCACTGGCGATCCAGCCACCCCACAGATTGTGGTGCAATTCAGAACTCAAGGAACTTCATCTTGCACCATTACACTGACGGCAGCTTCCCCCCTGATTTGAATGGGAGCACGATCATGCCCTTGGTAGACCGCGCTCAGTAGCAACAAACGGAACTAGAACAACAGGAGAACTGGAGCCACTAGCCTGGAGCTGTCTTGCAGAGAATCTTACAGCGCTGGGTACCATGCCCGGCCTGTGCTATCGGCTCTTTGCGCTTGTGTAAGCTCCTATTCAGAAAATTGAGTTTTCTAAAAAATGTTCATGGCCTTAGTTAATTGACATCTACAGACTTCAACCCTTTATTGGGGCAAATGCCTTGGGACGCCTTTTGAAGGGGATTGGACCAGGACAAAGGAGTTATAAGCAACATCCGTTTGTTCAAAGATTTCTCACTAGCCCATTTTTCCATTGATGGGGAGGCTACTTGTTGTTACGGTGTCACTGATAACTGTTGGGCATGTGGCCCATTGCTAGTCTGACTGCAGGGCAGGCCAGATTTCTGGGCGGGTGCAGCTGCTGGAGAGCATGTGATTTCATTCACACTTCGATGGCTGTTTTCCATGTATGTGAGTGTAAAACCAGCCAGGAGACGGAGCAGACAAATCAACCTGAAATCTGATAGAAGGATATTTACTCTATGGAGGTTTATATAGGCTATAATCTGGATTTCATTGCTACATCTCTGTTACTATGATTAGTGTTCCTGGAGGCATGTGCTACAGAAGATGGTGAGAAGCAAAGTCAGAAATGTCCAGAGTCAAAACTTCTCAAGAACAAATGAGTCTGAGATTATTGCAAGCCCCATCCTGGCATTGCCAGAGTAATGCGGTTTGTCTTGTCTCTCAGCACTGGGCTTTTAAGGTCCTGTTTTTTAGAACTGCTGCAGCACCGTGGCCTTTCACCATTTCGAAAGGAAGGAATTTCGTTCGAGTCAGCGCTGAAAGAAAGCGAGGGATGAACAGGAACAGTCCTTGGGGCTGTGTATTTGCTGACTTGCAGAAATTGTGTTTCTTTAAAACTCATAGGGAGACACGAAGACTGTGATCTTGGAGACATGCTTCGCCTGGAAGGTGCGATCCAGATACTCGGACATGTCCACCTCCACCTCGATGGTCTGGGGTCCTTTCAGGCTTTGCACAAGGATCAGTTCTCCCGTCTGCCGGTCGGAGCGCTGCATCACAAAATGCCCTCGGTTGTTGCCCCCAATAATCCCGAAGCGCAGGCTGTCAGGCCCAGGCCGGCCTGGGGCGGAGGCAGTTGCCATGCGGAAGAGAGGGGTGGGGGTTATTAGATTGGAAGGCAGAGGGAGATAATGGAAGGAGATGGACTTTGGGGCATGATGGCACAATCTGCTGTCCATTGGGCAGGGGTTGCGTTCACATTGGCTAGCAATGAAAGAAAGGACAAGGGTTAAGGCAGTCCTGGAAGCGGGAAAAGCCTGTGCACGCTTACATTGTCACCGTTGGGCCTTTGTGTTCTGTTCTGTTTCTGATGAGCCATTAATGATCATGTGGAGACGTTTATTGCCCACGCATTTCCTAAAGCACCTTCCCCAAAGTCACCTGGTGATAAAGCAGCACTCACGTACGGACCCCCTAAACCACTGGAGACGCACGGCCCTAGGGATCTGAGGCAGCACTTTCATGGCTTGGACTCCTGAAAAGTAGCAGACCAGGGGCCAAATTCTGTTCCTAGTTACACCAATGTAAGTCTACGGGATCTCCACTGAAGTCAATGAAATGAGCTTGGATTTATCCCTCTGTAACTAAGGACAGAAACTGGCCCCCCAGCGACTGAACTAGGCCCTCCCAACCTAGACGCAGGAGCCTCTCTGGGTACGTCTACACGGGAGGTGGGAGCCAGCCTCCCAGCCTGGGGAGCCAGATTGTCCTAGCGGGGCTTGGGCTAGCATGCTAAAAACGCTGTCTAGACATTGCGACACCAGTGGAGGCTCAGGCGAGAGCCTCCATCCTGCCTGCTGGGTCTGAGCTCCGGGGAGCAGCCCAGGCCTGCACCAGAGCCACGACATCCACACGGCTATTCTTAGTGTGCTAGCTTGAGCTGAGCTAGCAGGAGTCTGCCCGGGCTGGGAGGGTCGCTCCCAGCTGCAGCGTAGACAGACCTTAAGAGAGCTGGAGCTAGAAAGCCAGGCTCTGTAGAGGGGGCTGTAGCAGACATCAGGTGTGGCTCAGGCACAGCAGGGGACGTGAAACCCATGCTGACCAGGGTGTCACACACACATCTCTCAGGCACGCCTGGAGGAGACCCAGGCACTTACGAAGGGTTGGGTATTGCCACTGAGATCTGCTAGGTGAAGCTGAGGGTGAAAACCAGGGAAGTCAATGGGAGTTTTGCCATTGACATCAACAGGGCCAAGATTTCACCTGGAGAATGGTATTGAACCCTATATTCATAGATGATACGGCCCGAAGGGGCCATTGTCAGTGACCATTTTGGTTGTCTTCCTGTCTAGCACTGGGCATAGGACTTCCCTGAATTAATTCCTGTTTGAACGAGTGCACCCCTCTGCAAGATGCTCCCTTCTTTTGGATTTAGCTAAATGAAGAATTGAACTAACTTCCAGCCGAACAACCTGGGAAGGGAGGAGCCCTGTCCCCGGGGGTGACAGTGATCTCCCCAAAGCAGGCCTGTTTTAACACTGTCGGTCAAAAAGGTAAATACCCTGTCGAGCTTTTCAGCCATGGGCTGTTTTCTCTGGCATTGCGAGGGGGCTGGTTCTCTTGCAGTCCCCTACTACTTACAATGGCGATGTTTTCACATAGCTGGCATTGCCGCTGGGCCGAGGGCACTCGGCGCTGACGCACTGGAAGCCTCCTCCTGTATTAATGCACGTCATGCCCCTGGTGCAGTTGTGCTGGGACAGGCTGCACTCGTCTATATCTGCAAAACAGCGAGAATCGAACAGAGCACGCCAGACGAAACTGCTCAAAGGGCAGAAAAGTGACCATCAGTTGGCACTGAGGGCCTGACATGGCCGCCAGACTCCTATAAAACACGCTCCCTTTTATGAAGGGAAAGACGGGGTCATTTTTTAGAGTAGATTTGCCCTTGGAAGACTTCACGCAGCAGCGCGACTCTGCGTTGTCAGAGACATTCCAACTCCCCTTGCGTTATATCTGCCTCATTAGAAACGATTGTAAAGAACGTTAAATGTTGTTTTACTGAGCTGAAAGGGTTAACACTCCATTGTCACTCACTCTTGTCCACCTACATTTCATCTCTTTACTGGGGAAATTTGATTTTTTGGGTCAGAGGCTGCTCTTATCTCCTTTTTGCCTATTACCATCATAATAGCTTCTAAAGTGGTTAAATGGTTAAATATAAGGAAGAAAACATGATAGCAGCAATTTTCACCTGATCCCTCTTCCTCACTTAGCAGTCAGTACCTTCTAAATACACATTATCCATCTCCAGCAAAGTGAGTTAAAAAAGTAAAGCTAATGTAAATCATTCAGACTTGATAGAAACACTAGCATTCTCCATCTCTTCCTTTCTTCTGTCCTTCTGGCACATAACGGGATGCTTTTTGTACTATAACCTCTGTCCGTAGATAGGTTAACCCTTGCTAGCCCAGGAAAATCAAAAAAAAGAGCAGAAAAATTAAAATCTATTTTTGTGACAAATTTCAAAATTACAGAGTTGCTTGAAACTGACCTATTTTTTTAAATATGAATAGAATATTTTAATTAAAATCTTTCCAAACCATTATCAAAAATTGTAAGTTTTCAGTAACTGCTCCTCCCCCGCAAAAAATATGTATATTAAAAGGCACTAAATTTTTCACAAAAAAACACATTTTGACAAAACTGATGTTTTTTCATAATGAATTTCATTTTTGAAAAAAGGCTATTCTTTGATGAAAATCTGTTCACCCAAACAATTTCAACCAGATCTAGTCAAATCTTTTAAAATAACCAGCAATGTTTTTCTCCTGTGAATTCAAATTGGAACAGGTGCAGAGAAGGGCTACACGGATGATCAGGGGAATGGAGGGCCTATTTTAGGAGAGGACTCATGATAAAATCCGGAGAGCTGGAAGCATCGAGGCCTTGATTCAACAAAGCAGTAAAACACAAGCTTAGTTTTGAGTGGAGAAAATCCCACTGCCTCTCCCTTTTACCTCTCTCCCCCACTTTGTTTCCACTGGGAAAGGGGAGAAAAAGGTAAAACAAAGGGAGAGAAAAGGATGTTTTTGACCAGCTTTATTAAAGACACACCTTCCACAGGATTTGGGAATGTGTCCATTTTGATGAAATTCCACCTGGTGTCCTGCCAGCTCACCTGCTGTCTCCTCACCTGAAGCCCCAGCTCCCAGGCTCACTGATCCGTGGCAGCCTGGAATTACCACTCTCCACCCAGCTCTAACAACGGATACTGGCAGGGTGAAATCCCGGAGTCAACGGGAGTTTTGCACCATGTGAGGCTTTCAGCCCACTGAAGTCAATGGGAGTCTTCCTCTCTATAAAATCTCTGCACACGTTCGGTTGGACCCAGCAGGTCTTTGTAACAGGAAGTTACATATGAAATCAGAAAATAATACAGCTTCTGCAAATGCGCTTTTGTTTCCTGCAGCAGGCCCCAGCCTGTGGTGCCCAGCTCTCCGAGCGCGCTGGCTCACCTTCACAGCTTTTCCCGTCTCCGAGGATCTTGTACCCACTGGGGCAGGAGCAGCGGTAAGAGCCGGGAACGTTGACACAGGCGTACATGCACAGACGAGGGGCTCCCTCCAGCTTGTAAACCTCACACTCGTTTACGTCTGCAGAGGAAACACACCGTCTCATACAGCACAGACCCTGCACAAAAAGGTCCACCCCGGCAAAGAATTCCTGCTGACAACCATTTCGCTCTTTGCCAGGACAAGAACACCCGGGAATAGCAGCAAACTGCTCAGTTCCTCCCAAGAGTGGACCACCATGGAGAAACTAGTGAAATTGCAGAGGCACAGTGTTACCAGGGCAAAGATATTTCGGTGCTTAGTGGTGTGTGGGATGAAATCTGACTCTCCCCCGCTTTGGGGCTGGCTGACTTGATTCTAGCCCATGCTATCCGACAATACGAGCGAGCAGTATGCAGGCCACAGGCCATGCAAAATGTGCACGCAAATTGGACTAGTATTTCCTTAACGAAAGGGCCAGTCTGCTGGGTTTTGCAAGTGATGGAGTTCTCGAGATGCCCCCAATTGCAATAGACATACCTAGATTAGCTGGGTTTAAAATGCTTGGCATTTATCCTGTCCCTTTTAGCCACAGACCACAACGCACCGATTTACAGGTAGGGGTGGTTTCATCCACTACTGAAATGCAGGTGCTTAGGGGTTGGGAGGCTGCACCGGGGACACAGCTGATTAGGACGGTAAGTGGAGGAGAACAGCTTGTCATAGAAATGCAGGGACTCTGGCTCCAGGGAATAATGTGGCTTGCAGGTAACTAGGAAGTCGCCCTTGCATGGCCGTGGCCTGAACCTGCAAGGTGAAAGCAAAGCTGTTCTGCTTGCAGGTGTTTCTTGCTAGTGAAAGCAGATTCTAAGCAAATCGTAGGGTGATGGTAATTTATTTTTTATCTTAAAAATGTATTTTGGGGTCCTGGTGAGTTCCCAGAAGGCGCTGGCTGTGGCCAAGTTTGGGCGTCCATGCTGTAGCCAATAGAAATTGCAGTGCAGTGATTTATAGTAGGTAGAATGCACTGTAATTTCCACTCTGCTTGCAAAAAAATGCCAGAAGTTCTTAAACAGCCACAAAGACCTTGATTTTGTGTCTGAGCCAAAAGATGGCACCTGGATTCTCCTCAGCGGTCTCCTGTCCAAGTGCTGGCTCCAAGCGCCTTAATTTATGAAACGAGACCAGAGCACGGACCTGGGCGGAGATCACAGCTTCAGCACAGAGCTCAGTGCAATGTTTAAAAAAAACAAATAGAAACAAGGCAAAAGAGATGTCTCTGAGCAAAACGAAAGGAGGGATATTCAGTAGGTGCAGCAGTTTTTACGGATGATTGCGGTGGACAGGGTTGCTTGGAAGAGGCTAGGGCTTTGTCTACGCTGGACTTTCATCCGCAAAACATTTGTCGTTTAGGGTGTGTAAAAAAACACATCCCCGAACGACAAAAGTTTTGCCAACGAACAGCGCCAGTGTGAACAGCACTGAGCTCTCCTGCCGACAAAAAACGTCCACCCTCAACAAGCAGGGGTAGCTTTGTCGGCAGGAGGAGAGCTCTCCTGCCGACAAAGCGCTGTTCACTCTGGCACTTTTTGTCGGCAAAACTTTTGTCATTCAGGGGTGTGTTTTTTTCACACCCCTAAACGACAAATGTTTTGCCAACGAAAATCCCAGTGTAGACAAAGCCTTAGCCTCTTCCAAGCAGCCCTGTCCACCGCATTCGTCCGTAAAAACTGCTGCTCAGATGTGTTGTGTGTGCATTGGGCAGCAGACGGGTGAAAGCTGCCGATGGATATTTCTGCTCATCTCCTACCCTGACATATGCTGTTGTCGGCCGTGCCGCTCATGTGGAAGCCGGCTTCGCAGCTGCAGTGCTGGGTCCTGTCGATTTTGGCACAGCGTGGCTTGCGACTGAAAGCCGGGTCGTTCGTAACACTCCACGCAGGTGGGGCTAAAGGAGAGAAGAGAGGAAACTCTACAGTGCTTCTTGGGCACCTGGCTCACAGGCCTGCAGTAACATTTTCAAAAGTGCCTAAATCACTTAAGAGACTCAGTCCCATTTTCAAATGCAACTTAAGCACTTAGGCCTAGATCTTTAAATGCACTTTTGAAAATTCCACCAGATGCCTCTATGCATCTTTTGGCACCCAAATACTTTGAAAAATCTATCCCCGAGGAGCTTAAGTCTTATTGAAAATCACTGGGAATTATACTTTTAAGTCACTTAGGGACTTTTGAAAATGTTGCCCTTGGTTCCTACTAGAGCCATGTGATTTTAGTTTATTATTCATATAATTTTACTTGAGTATTTATCACAATTCCTCTTGCTCAGGGGCATAGGTGACGGGTAGGGGCAGGCATGCGGGGTCAAGTGCCCGCCAAGATTTCTGGCTGGCCTGGCAGCGGGGAGTGAGAGAGGCTCCATTCTTCTCCCGCTGCGCCTGCCTCCCGGCATGCTCGGCCTCTGTCTCTGGCAGCTGGCCCGGGCGGGGGACTATTTGCTATTCATTAATCATGTTCTGTGACTGGTTACCAAAGTCACATGACATTTTTTCTCCTCCTTGATGAGATGGGGCAGATTTTGGAAAGTGCATAGTCTTTGGAAGCTCAGGGGCTGTGTTTGTACAGCACCCGGCACAGTGGGAATTACTGTCATTCTGAGGTTAGAAGCTGACATCTGAGAATGGGCAGGGGCTTCTGCCTTGTAATTCGTTGTCTGCCTTGCTCGAGTCTCTTTCTCTTTCGCACCTCACCTGGTTACATACCTGTTTGTGATTGGTACTGGCAGTTCTCACCGGTCCACCCTTGAGGACAAGTGCATTTGTACTGGTTTACTCCATCCACACAAGTTCCACCATTCTGGCAGGGATTGCTCGAGCATTTGCTGATCACTAAGGGGAAAAAACGTTTTTAAAAACAAACTATACTGGCTCTATCTTTCCTAGCGTAAGGCCTGACCCGACAGTCCTTCAGTGGATGTCAGCGGGAGCTTTGCCTGAGTAAGGACCGCGCGATCAAGCCCATCATTTTAATAATTCATGAAATATAATAATAATAATAATAATACATTTAAATCAGGATTTTAAAAATGGGTGCCAACATTTAGGCTCCTAAGACTTCCTTAAATGTTAATGGGGGGTGGGTGGGTGCTGGGTGCTCAGTGCTTTTGAAAATCAAGGCTTTAGGAGCCTAAAATAGGGATTTAGGAGCTTAAGTTGAGGCCCCCCCATTTTTTTAAATCTCGGCCTTAATTTTTAAGCACGCCTTTCCTTGCCAAGCCACAGTGTGAGTGCCCAACACCACTACCCACGTCGCACCTTGACGGCTTTAGCGCCAGGTGCATGTTTTCCGGTTGGCTGTTTCAGGTCAGTAGGTGTATTACTGCCGATGCAGCTAGTTTGTTTAACTGCATCGCCAAAGTCATAAACCTCCCAAAGGATCTTTTCGAATAGTTTTTATTAGCGAGTAACCCCCTTGCGATGACTGGCCCTGTCGCTTGCAGAATCAAGCTAAAAGCTATCGTAGACGGTCAAACAAAGACGACAGAACCCAGTGCAGTTAGTCACACCTCCGCCCCAGGATCATGTTGGCCTAAGTTGGGACAACCCCCAGCTTTGGAAACAATAGAGAGTTCACCTAAGCCATATTATCACTCCTGCCCGGCATATTCTCTTCCTAACTCATTAGTTCAAAGGAATGGCCGTGAAGAAGCAGGCTGTGAACGCTCCATGGCTAGCAATTCCTAAGCACACGCCAAAAGCCGAGCTTGCTTGGTCATCAATAGCATATTCTAAATATTTCAGGACTGCTAGAGCATGAAGTTATTGACCAAGACGTGAGAGAGTATTAACCGCCCCCGTCCTTGAATTTGCTGCCAGCAGAGATCCAAATCTCTCCTCTCACTTGCTCTCTGGAGCGATTGTGTGCAGTGGGACGCACTAACACCTGGCCTACAAGCTGCGGGGGGAGACAACATGTCTCGAAGTGGAATGCACATCAGTCGCTGCACAGGTGTTCAGCAAAGGAATGCAGGGGTTCGTTGGTTGCCAAGCATTTTCATGTCAAGGAAGGCTACATAAAGCCTCCTTTCTTTCTCATCTCCATACCGAGCCTGGGAAGATTAAATGGCCCTCTGTCCTTATCCCCAGCTCATTCTACAGACAGTCCAGGCTGTCAGCTTATCTAGTATGGCTGAGTTCATCTCTTTAGACACTTCATAATAGACCACTCCAGCGCTCGGTGATTTCAGCAATGCAGAGGGTATATGTTGGGAGCTTGGTAGACCATTAGCATTTTAGACAATGTGGTGGAATTTCCTTAAACAAACCCCACTTTCAATCTGCAGAGCTCCAAGCTATTTAAACCTTGTGATCCCCACTGTGTGAATGTCAACTACCCAGGCTATAAAGAGTATATCGGCCATAGGGGACCATTTTAGGATCCAAAAGACTGATACAAACATAGGCTTTATCCAGAACAAATTACATGATGTGTCTCTCATCCAACCTAAATACATGCCTGACTTTAAATTAACAGTCAAAGTCAATCCTTCCCTACGAATTGCCAGGCACGAAAGGGCTGGTACTAGAAAGACTCACACATAGCAGGTGGCAGGGTTTATGTTTCAAACTCTCTCCCATAACCTGAGCTCCCGCAGCGAGCCACTCCACATGCCAGCCGGGGCGAGTTCTGTGGGAAGTTTGTGATGTGGACAAACTCCTTATAAGCTTAACGACAAAACCAAAGGCTCCATATGGGACGAGAAGACTCGCTGTCTTAGCAAAAGGAGAACACAGATTTCTCAGTGAGAGGCACCAAAGATCCCTAAAGATCAGCTGGGGGAGGTGGTGCAGTCAGTGACTTTGTGATTCTGAAGTGTTTGCTTGTCATAGGTGTTGCTGGGCCGTAATTCATGTTCTGATTGCGTATAGCTTTGTAGGATTGTTTTTAAATCAATGAACACTTTATAAGCAAAGCAGGTGCCCCTGTTCACAGCCCTCCAACTTTAAACAGTTCATGTTGCTTTTATTATCAGATCATTTACTTTACACCTGGCCAAGAGTTTGGTTTTAGCAGGTCTGTGAGGCTCTGATCTCTTTCTCAGCTTATCTTTGGGGCACCTGGGGAGCTTGTTTTTTTTGTTTAAAGAACCCTTAAGCCCACTCCTAAAAGAGCTTAAATACTAGTAATACTTAGTACTTCTCTGGCACTTTTCATCAGTAGATTTCAAAACACTTTACAAAGGAAATCAGTATAATTATCCCCATTTTACAGATGGGAAAACTGAGGCAGAGGGCGATGCAGTGACTTGCCCACATTGACTCAGTCAGTCAGTGGCGGAGCCACAAGTAAAACAGCAGGTCTCCTGAGTCACAGCCCAGTGCTCTAACCACTAGGCAATGCTGCCTTGTCTAAAGATGGAAATATCCAAATCGGGGCAAGCATGTTTCTACCATTCTAGGTTGAAACTGGCCTGAATATAGAGCAGCCACTGTAAGTTCATTGGCTTCCTGGTTGAAGCATCCATGTTAGGAGTGGTTCAGTGGGAGGTTTATCTAGCATAAATCATTCTTCTCCCATAGGTGTTTCTTAATGGGGGAACCTTTGGCAGGTCCATGTGCATTAAATGAAAGCAGATGTCAGTGTCTTGTGATCGACTTGTGCACAGTTTCTAGAAATGCTGCTCAACAGTGTTTCTTTGGAATGATTCAAAATGTTGCATTTGGAAGGGAACAAAGCCCAGCGCAGCTCTGGGAATGACAAGGGCAAGGGAGCGCTGCGGGGATTCCAGGGTGGGTTACTGTGAAGAGCTGCCAATATTTTAACAAAGGATGCCTCCGAAACGTTCCCTCTTTCTCTGCGATCAGGCCGAGGTGCCAGGGGCTGAGCAGTGCTGAGAAGAGATGTGCATGAGGCACTGAGCAATTCTGGGCATCGTCCTCCGGGGAAATGTTTTTAAACGAGCCGCCTTTTGGTGCGATCTGGGCCATTACCAATGCAAAACAAGTGATGGTGAGAAGTGGTTCCAAGCGCCCGAAGTGGTCAAAAATCGTGAGTTGGGTCTTCAAAAATCACAAGACTGGTTTAAACAATCATGAGATTTAAAAAAAAAATCCCTAATACGTTTTGGGTTCCTTTTATTTAACCTCTAGTTTCCGAGCCTTCGGGGGACACTTGGGAGGCATTTTCAAACTTTTCTCCCTAACCAGGGGAGCAGCTGGTTTGCTGCAGTGGAGGGGTCCTTTCATAAATTACGTGTGGGCCTTCCCCAGCTCCACAGTGATTCCCCACTCCCACCCGGCAAACAGCCCTCGCTCCACAGGCTCACACGTGCTACTTTGGAGGGTCAATCTTGAAAAGCACTTGGTGCCAGAGGACAAACTAGTATGCAAGTGCCCTTGCAAACAAGCGCCTCCCGCCTGTGCCACATCCCTGAAACCAGGGGTGGCTCTATGTATTTTGCTGCCCCAAGCAGGGCAGTCAGGCGCACCCGCGGGAGGTCCGCTGGCAACGCAGATTCGGCGGCATGCCTGTGGGAGATCCGCCGGTCCTGCGGCTTCAGCGTACCTGCTGCCGAATTGCCGCCGAAACTGCGGGACCGGTGGACCTCCCGCAGGCATGCCGCCGAGGCTGCCCCCCGCGGCTTGCTGCCCCAGGAACGCGCTTGGTGCGCTGATGCCTGGAGCCGTCCCTGCCTGAAATACACAGTGTTTTAACAGAAAGAATAATCAGTATCCTCGAAATGAGAGACACGTTACATGACAATGCGTTATGCCAATTTTAAATGGGTGTAAATTGGATCAGAATTTGGCCCAAAAGGAAGACGAGATCATGGATCCTGCTGGTAGAAAGCTCAGATGTCGTTACAATAATGTATCTGTGAATTAGAAATACATGTGAGAGCAATAGTTTCAAAGTAAATTTATTCTCCACCCGTTGCACTTAGAGAGGGTCTTTCAGCTGAGGATCTCCCTGTGGGTGTGTCGTCCCCCCGTTATATAGAGGAGGGAACAGAGCCATAGAGACACTAAACGAGCTGAACAAAGTCACAAAATGACTGAGTGGCAGAGAACTGGGAACAGCATCCGTGACCCCACACTGCCCCCGAGCACAGGAATGCCGCATCGACGCAAAGTCTTTCTTTCATGGAAATTTGTGGGGATTGTATTTCTGTTGAGTTACTTCGGTGGTCAGAGCGCCACAATGGGCGCTGTAGGCTTTGAATACCAGTTTCAATCAGTCTTGTGGTTTTGGAAAACATACTTAAAAAAAAAATCCTTTTTTGTGCAACCGCGTTAAGCCAAATGCCTGTTAACTACCATGAAACATATTTCTGCCCAGGAAATTATTTTTAATAGAGGTAATTAGATATAATTTTCTTGTTTGCCAATTCGGATCAATCACATGTTGGACAGAAAGGCAGCCGTCCAAATAAGCATCTGAGGGGAATTATTATGAATGTGATGCGCCAGCTGCTTCAGACCCTGATATTTATTGTTATGAAATAAACTGTCTATTGAGGAATTGGTTTTATGCTCAGAGCTTCAGCCCTGAGCACAATAAATGAAACTCACGTGGACTCAGGACGAGAAAAGTGGAACAGATGTGAGGTTGACTGTTAGAGCCGGGGACCCCCGTTACGCAGAGCTGGAAACCAGCCGAACTATTGGTACACAACGCAACGGACCCAGCCATTATTATTCAAAGCTGAAGAGGGGGACTTTTCCAGTTCAGTGGAGACTGTCCAAGCACAGCTCCAAGTGTGTGGGCTTGCTGAGGCCTGCAAAGGGCCAGCTGTGAGTTCTGCAGGCAGGAGAGGACTAGCCGTGGCATCTCCACATCTCCTGTCCCTGGGAGTTGGTATTTGCAAAGAACAGAACATCACTAAGCTAAATGCCTGGGTCACAGGACCAGCCCGCTACTCAGTAAAGAGTGTAAGGTTGCTAAGATTCAGGAGAAGAATCCTTAATGGATAAAACCACCCCTCCCCCCTCATCACCACACTTATGCAAGAAGCTGAAGTTGGGGAGATAGCTGACAAGCCAAGGGGAAGCAATAGCATCGAGGAGAACCCAGGCGATGCATTAATCTCTCCTGCACACCCACCAGCTGCACTGAGGAGTTACGACATTTTACGGTAGGGTCGCTACACTGGTTTTGTTCTCTCACCGGGGCATGCACGGGCCTGTGCGGTGACATGAAGATGGACTCACACACTCAAACCAAGGGCATGAAAAGGCAAAGTACCTTTGCACCGCGGTGCTTCTCCAGTCCAGCTGCCATTTGCCTGACACACTCGGGTGCTGGAACCCAGGAGCTGAAAACCAGGTTCGCAGGTGAAATGGACTTCATGGTCCACAAAGTACTTGGTACCAAATCTTCTGCCATCCACGGGGGCATCCAGTGCAGGGCAAGACACTGCAAAAGCACAGTGGGAAATGCTGAGGTTAAATACTCAGTATGCTAGCCACCCCTGGAGTACTCGGTACACAGTACTCGGACAGCCAGCTGGCTTACTGCCTTCTGCCTCTCGGCTCAGGATTGTTCCCATGGAGTAACAAAGCCACCTCCTCGGACAGCCTGAGCAATTGTAGTTACCCCTGGTGTTGGTCAAGCCATGCCGTGCCTCCTGTGTTTAAATAGTGAAAGACCTAGAATCTGACATGGATCCTCACAAAGGAGAATTTTATGAAGAACAGGCCAGATACTGAGACCTTTATTCATAGCGAGCGATACTTGAGGCTGGAAGTGGGTTCCATTGACTTCAGAAGGGTTACTCTCAGAGTAAGGCACTATTCAACTAGACAAAGGCCCTCAGAATCTGCCCCCAAAATACATGGCTTATTTTACATTAGGTATGAAATAATCAACAGAGAAAAAGTGTATGGAAAATCAGCTAGCAGAGCCCACTCCCCCAGGTGCTGTCTTCCAGCTGAAAGCAAGAAAGAAAAGTGAAGTATTGACATTTACAAAAAATCCACAAACCACACGGGGAGAGTGAAATAGCGGTACCATTAAAGAATGCTCTGTCCTCAGCAAAGAAAATCAGCACGTCAATAATAGGTTCGTGTTCAGAGCCCGCTGGCCTATTTCATGACAGAATTATCTGAGTGCCCCGTGGGCTAGACACGTATGAAAGGAAAGAAAGAATGAGCTGATACCTCGCAATGGAAGACTATAGGACATCCCTACTTGTATGGTCTGGGAGGTCCCTACTCTGAGTAGCCATTGGCCGGATGAAGCATTTGATAACACGCAATTGTTAAACGCTCTGGGCCAAATCTTCTGGTGGAGTAAACCAGTGCAGCGCCACTGCAGTCAGTTTAGAGCAGCGTGAATCTGGCCATCTTTCTGTGTTACATGAAACTTCTTCACTTTCCCCGAATGAGAAATGCGTCTCTGCGGGAGTAAAATGCCCCCTTGCTAGATGTCAAAAAAGTGCCTCTTAGGCAGGGGCTGCAGAGCACCATGTAGAGTGGTGGGCATAGGTTCCCCCCAACCCTCCTCTTGCTGTCTCATGGACCTCCCCCGCAGCAGCCTGACTCCCCTGGCACATGAGTCCCTACACCCACCCCCTCCAAATCGGAGTGGTGTCACCACCTGTGTGCCAGGTCACAACCTCACTCTTAAAGTTGGCCTGCCTGCACCACTGTCATGACAGAGGGGCCACCGGGTCATGTTTCAGTGAGTGGGGGTGTGAGCCGGTGCACAGGGTCGCAGTGCCGCTCAGATGCCCATGGCCCGTGAGGCCCGTCTGGCTCTGCGACCTATGCTTTTGAGGACCTGATCCTGCCAACACTACAGGGCGTAATGCTTCCTGCCACTGACTCCAATAGGCAGGAATCTCACACCTGTACAAAGTGTGTGAAAAGTTTAGGTTGCCATGTCGAGCGATCAGAAGTCACAAGTGTCAGATCCATGGAGGCCCACGCAAGCTTCATTGTGTGTCCAACCTGCCCACTGAACGAGGCAGGGATCCGGAGGGTGAGCCCATAATTAAAGACCGTACCTGAACGCAGGGTGATGCGAACAGCGCCAGCCACCATGGAAGGGCCAATATTCCTGTGTCCTAGGCTAGCTCCAGTGCTGTATGGAAACGTGCCCCCCATTGAATGCCTCCCTGTAGCAAGCCCAGTGCAGCAGCAAGAGGGACTGTGGAAGGGGTTGGTTTGTCTCACCCCGGTGAACGTTTCACACGACGGCTGGTAAAAGGTGAGATGGTTTTGAAGGCTCACCCAGCACTTGCGGAGTGGGGCTCTCCGAGGGCGCCGCCCAGCTAGGTGACAGGCGTTGGGAGGCCGTTCCAGGCAGAGGGGCAGCAGAGCAGAAGGCAGAGAGGTCTGTGAATGAAAGGGCTATTGTTGTATCATTAGCAGAGCAGAGAGTGGGGGAATCTGTGCGGGGTGGTGTTTGCAGGCTCCCAGAGGCGAGTCAGCTCTGGAGAAAGGCTGCTGGGATTTCTTGAGTCAGGTTGACTCCGTTCACTGCTCCGTTGTTTTATTAGCATCCCGGGGCAGCAGTGAATTTTATTCCGCATTCTCAGAAATGTTCTCCGACACTCTTCGCTCCCAGGGGCGAAGCTCCCAGCTCAGCCAGCTCTCGGAGAGAAGGCAGCTATCCGAATCTTCACCTGAAGTGTGAAGATGTTTGGCCAAAGGCACTTCTGCTAAATCAAAGCTCTTGGTTCTGGGAATGCCATTTAGTGCGGTATCAATTCTGTTCCCTTACAGCAATATCAGATCGGAAAGTGAATCAGTAACGTCCAAACTATACCATGAAACTGAAAAGGAAACTACAGGGCTCTTCATTTGCACCTTTCAATGTGGATGTGCATTCTATTTACAACAGGTGCCGTGCCCTGGCAGCTAGTGCCTGGGCGAAACAATACCCAGAAAAGAACCCTGTGGTGGAAGAGAAATGGATAGTGACTGGCAAGAGTTAGGAGAATGGAGGGGTAACATTTGCCAGGAACATCCGTTGGCAGTTTAATTTCAGTGGGAGCTGGATTGAACCTAATGTGAGACTTTCCAGGGACGTCTGGGAGATCAGAATTAGTGCTACGTTGGAGTTGTTTTGGAGCTCACCATAAGCGCTTCTGAAAGCGGCTTGTAGGCTGAGTTGATAAAATGACCACATCTTGACCATACATGTACAGCTCCCGTCTCTCATGGAAATGCCGGTGTGAGAGACTCATTCTGTGCATACTTCTGCTCTGTAGGTGAAAGAGACTTGGACACAAAAGATACAGGCTCTTCATCCGGTAGCAGGGTAGCATCCAATCCCATCTCATTGACATGAGTTAGGAAAAGAACCTAAGTCTCCGGACTCAGAACAATTGTTCTACACACTAGACAACACTTCCCTAGAAAGTTTAATCATATGAGATTGCATTGGAAGGGCCTGATTCTCCACTGCCTAGCTCCTTGGGGAGTCATTTGCACTGTGCAAATGAGGTGCAAGGCCGCTCATAGATTTCAAGGCAGGAAGGTCCATTATGATAATTTACCCTGACCTCCGGCATAGCCCAGGCCAGAGAATTTTGCCCAGTGACTCCCGCAGCCCAATAACTTGCGGCTGAACTACAGTGATTTTTTAGGCAGACATCCAGGTTTGATTTACATACCGCAGGTGACGGAAGATGTTCCTGTGGTTAATTCCCATTCTGTGTTAAAAAGGTGTACCTTATCTCACGCTGCATTTAATTTAGCTTGAGCTCCAGCCATTGGATCTTGTTGGATGGATGTAAGGATCAAGTAATAACAAAAGAATGTGAACATAAGAACAGACATGCTGGGTCAGACTAAGGGTCCATCTAGCCCAGTATCCCATCCTCCAACAGTGGCCAGTGCCAGATGCTCAAAGGGAACGAACTGAACAGGGCAATTAGTTAGTGATCCATCACCTGTCGTCCAGTCCCAGCTTCTCACAGTCAAAGGTTTAGGGACACCCAGAGCATGATGTTCCGTCCCTGATCATCTTGGCTAATAGCCATTGATGGACCTATCCTCCATGAACTTGTCCAATTCTCGTTTAACTCAATTATCCTTTTGGCCTTCACAACAACCCCGGCAACAAGTTCCTTCCACAGGTTGACTGTGCGCTGTGTGAAGAAGCATTTCCTGATGTATGTTTTAAAACCTGCTACCTACTAATTCCATTGGGTGAGCCCAGATTTGGGTCTTATGTGAAGAGGAAAATAACACTCCTGTACTACTTGTGCCACCCGGTTCATGATTTTATACACCTCTATCACCTTTTCTAAGGCGAACGGTCCCAGTCTTTTTAATTGCTCCTTGTATGGAAGCTGTTCCATGCCCCTCATCATTTTTGCTGCACTTCTGTATGCTTTTTCTAATTCAAATATAGCTTCTTAGTTTTGAGATGGGGTGACCAAAGCTATATGCAGTATTCAAGTGTGGGCATACCATGGATATATCAAGTGGTGTTTGATATTTTTTGTTTTATTAACTATCCCTTTCCTAATAATTTTTTTGGACTGCCGCTGCACATTGAATGGATGATTTCAGAGAACTATCCACAATGACTCCAAGGTCTCTTTCTTGAGCGGTAACAGCTAATTTAGACCCCATCGTTTTGTATGTATAGTGGGGATTATGTTTTCCAATGTGCATTACTTTGCATTTATCAACATCGAATTTCATCTGCCATTTTGTTGCCAGTCACCCAGTTTAGTGAGATCCCTTTGGAACTCTTTGCAGTCAGCTTTGGACTTAACTTGAATAATTTTGTATATGCAAATGTTGCCACTTCCCTGTTTACCCCTTTTTCCAGATAATCTATGACTATGTTGAACAGCACTGGTCCCAGTACAGATCCCCGGGGAACCTGCTATTTACCACTTTCCATTGTGAAAACTGATCATTTATTTCTACCCTTTGGTTCCTATCTTTCAAACAGTTACTGATCCACGCACGATACGACCTTCCCTCTCGTCCCATGACTGCTTACTTCGCTGAAGAGCCTTTGGTGAGGGACCTTGTCAAAGGCTTTCTGAAAGTTCAAGTGCATTATATCAACTAGATCACCCGTGTCCACGTGCTTACTGACACCCTCAAAGAATTCTAATAGATTGGTGTTCCTGTGTGGACTCTTCCCCAACATATTGTGTTCATCTATGTGTCTGATAATTCTATTCCTTACTATAGTTTCAACTAATTTGCCTGGTACTGAAGTTAGGCTTACTGGCCTGTAATTGCTGGGATTACTTCGGGAACTTTTTTTTTTAAATCAGCAATACATTAGCTATCCTCCAGTTATCTGGTACAGAGACTGATTTAAGCAATAGGTTACATAACAGTTAGTTTTTCTGCAATTTCATATCTGAGTCCCATTAGAACTCTTGGGTGAATCCCATCGGGTCCTGGTGACTTATTACCATTTAATGTATCAATTTGTTCCAAACGTCCTTTCCTGACATCTCAATCTGGGACGGTTCCTCAGATTTGTCACCTAAAAAGAATGGCCCGGGTGTGTGAATCTCCTTCATATCTTCTGCTATGAAGACCAATGGAAAGATTTTGTTTAGCTTCTCCACAACAGCCTTGTCTTCCATGAGTGCTCCGTTAGCACTTTGACACTCCAGTGGCTCCACTTACTACTGGGTAGGCTTCTTGCTTCTGATTTACTTACAAACAACTTTGTTGTTAGCAAAAGACACAAAAATTAGTTGCTCTTCAAATTCTTTTTTGGCCTGCCTAACTATACTTTTATAGTCGACTTGCCAGAGTTTATGCTTTTTTCTATTTTCCTCAGTAGGGTTTGACTTCCAATTTTTAGAGGATGCCTTTTTGCCTCTGAGTCTTCCTCTGCTGTTTAGCTATGAACAGACTTCAACGAGAAACTGCAGAACTGGAATTAATTTGCAAACTTGACACCATCAAATTAGTCCTGAATAAAGACTGGGAGTGGCTGGGTCACTACAAAAAATAATTTTCCCTCTGTTGATATTCACCCCTTCTTGTCAACTCTTGAGAATGGGCCACATCCACCCTAATTGAATTGGCCTCGTTAGCACTGACCTGCCACTTGGTAAGGCAACTCCCATCTTTTCATGTGCTGTATATTTATACCTGCCTACTGTATTTTCCACTCCATGCATCTGATGAAGTGGATTATATCCCACGAAAGCTTACACCCAAATACATTTGTTAATCTCTAAGGTGCCACAAGGACTCCTCATTGTTTTTACTGATACAGACTAACACGGCTACCCGCTGAAACCTGTTTAGCTATGGTGGCATTTTTTTATCCTACTTTTTTTTTATTTGGGGTATACATGTAGTTTGAACCTCTATTATGGTGTTTTTTAGTAGTTTCCATGACGCTTGCAGGCATTTCACTCTTGTGACTCTCCCTTTTAATTTCTGTTTAACTCACTTCCTCATTTTTGTGTAGTTCCCCTTTTTGAAGTTAAATGCTACCGCAGTGGGTTCCTTTGGTATTTTCCACCCTACAAGGATGTTACATTTAATTACATATGGTTGCTATTGCCAAGTTGTTCAGCTATATTCATCTCTTCGACGTGATCCTATGCATCATTTAGGACTAAATCAAGAATTGCCTCTCCCCTTGTGGGTAGCAGGACAAAATGCTCCAAGAAGCAGTCATTTAATGGGGTCTAGAAATTTTCTCTGCAGCCCTTCCTGAGGCGACATGTTCCCAGTCAATATGGGGATAGTTGAAATCCCCCATTATTATTGAGTTTTCCGGTTTTGTAGCCTCTCTAGTCTCCCTGAGCATTTCAGAACCACCCTTTATCATACTGGTCAGGAGGTTGGTAGTATAATCCTACTGCTATACTCTTATTGTTCAAGCAGGGAATTTCTCTCCACAGAGACTCTGTGGTACAGTTTGATTCACTCAAGATGCTCTCTTTCACATATGGGGCCTCTCCCACACCAGCATGACCTACTCTGTCGTTCCAATACATTTTGAACCCTGGTATTACTGTGTTCCATTGATTATCAATTGTTCCACCAAATTTCTGTGATACCTATTATATCACTATCCTCATTTAATACCAGGCACTCAAGTTCACCATCTTAGTATTTAGACTTCTAGCATTTGTATATAAGGACTTATAACATTTGTCAGTGTTTGGTTGACTGCCTTCCGGTGATGTAATTGAACGGGACTCTTTTTCATTTGACTGTTTCTCTTCAGTTCCTACCCGTACTTCATCAACTTCTATCCTCTCCTCTTCACTAGGATATTGAGTATCCCTTTTAATAGCTCCTCCCCTAAGGGATGTCTCTGGCCGAACTGCGTGCTCCTCTGTACCTGTCCGCTTTCCCGCAGCCCTTAGTGTAAAAACTCCTCTACAACCTTTTAAATTTTAGATGCCAGCAGTGTACAACGATCTGCAGTGTTGCAGTGAAAAGGCTGGGAAACTTGAAAGTCAATACGGAAATTACCTTCCTTTCAATAGACGTAGGAGAATTAAGTACGAATGATGGGGGCTCAAAAGACCCTAAGTGACTTCAATTTCAATGGGACTTGTTCTCCTAAGATGCTTCTATAACTGTCACCTGACAACGCTCAGGGCTTGTCTACACTGGCAACGTTAAACCGCTGCCGTGGCAGTGCTTTAACGTGGCTTGTGTAGTCACGGCACAGCGCTGGGAGAGCTCTCTCTTACTTAAAAACCCACCTCCACGAGGGGCGCAGCTCCCAGCGCTGGGGCACTGTCTATACTGGCACTTTACAACGCTGTGCTCAGGGGGGTGTTTTTTCATACTCCTGAGCGAGAAAGTTGCAGCGCTGTAAAGTGCTAGTTTAGACAAGTCTTCAGTTTCTACACTGTTGTGACACTGCAAACCATGCATGAGAAGTAAAGCTTTCAGGTGCCATTGCTTTCCACAGAAAAGATGATTTCGGCTTAGCATGTGCTGAGAAAACTGAATATCATTCTAGACCATAGACAGACATATTTATTACCGCGTATGGAGACCAAGCATGGCCCCGAGAGAGAAACAGGAAAGAGGATTGAGCGAGCGAGCATTATAAATATACTGACCTCATTTTAAGATCTAAAATTAGGATCATGGGCTACTATATGGTCAGACGGCTTGAGCTGGTTGTGTGGGAAGAGCAGGTCACACTGAACATGATCTACTGTAGCTACTTTGGGGCAGATTCCTGATCTGTGTGCAAAGTGCCGTGTACAACCATGGGATGAGACTGATGGACAGTCTGGTATGGGGAGAAAAGGTGCATTGGGGCTGTCCCACAATGTATGGAGCTGTTTGGATGGGGCACATGTTCCCCTTCTCTTCCAAACAGTAGGGAGTGGAGGGGGGGGGGAAGAGAGAGGGGCAGCAGCACCCCTAGGTCTTGGCAGTCCACAGTGCAGCGTGGCATGGTGGGCAGCGGGATGTGCCAAGAGCTAGCTTGCCAGGCCCTCGCTCTCCCTGCCGGGGCCGGGGGGGAAGGGGAGAACAGCCTGTCGGCACTAGTGAACACCGCAGCCAGATGCGCTACGGCTGCTCTTGTTGCTGAAGGGCCAGTTGTGGGTTTTTACCGGATTGTGGGTCCGGGGCGGCTTTCGTCACCGCGTTCTGCAGGGTTATCAGCCGGTTCTTCATGACGCGCACTCCCTCTGCAAACCGCGTTTCCTGCCCCTTTAAGAACTGCTGCATTTGGCGGATGGCAGCCAGGAGCTGCTGCTTGTTGAGACAGTTCTGTGAAGAAGAAAGAGAATCCGTTTCAACGCTGAGCGCACACGTCACGCACTGCGCGTTAGCTCCCTTTATCTGCAGCTGCCAGCAACGTAGTGACAGCTCATTAAGCACAATTAGCGAGCGATTATTCCAGCGGCCGCTTCCCCGCCTAACACATGAGGTCTATGTACATTCAGTGGGGGGCTGAGCAGTTTTGTTGGCACACCCCGGCCTTTTCAGGGGTACACTGTCAAATAACGGCAACACGGTAACCAGAGTGAGCAGCCAGAGGTACCGCACTGAACTCAGTGAGCTTGTGAAAATCCATCCATATTTTTAACCATAGCAACAGAAGTTCAACCCCCTCCAGCATCGTCCCATTCTGCAATTCCTCCCTGCAGCCCCAGCAGAGCCATGCGCCTAGTGCCCCCTTCCTTGCCAACCCTCCAGGACGTAGAGATTAATAATTAATTAAAGATTATGTCATGTGACTAAACCTCCAGGAATACGTCCAGCCAAAAATCAGCAGCCCCTTCACCCACCCTCATCCCCTTCCCTGTGTCCCCAGCATTTTGTAACCCTGTTTTATTTACACACGAGGGGGATCTGGTGAAGTTTAGTCCCTCAGAAAGACCGAGTCAGTATGGCGTCACCAACGAGTTCCAGGCACTTTGTCACACAGCTGAGTGCCAGTGCTACAGCCCACTGCCCATCTAGCCAGCAGTCACCCCATTGCCGGAGCCTTTCCTAAGCAAAGACAATTGCCAGGTGGATTGGTGAGGTGACCCAGGAGGTATCAAATTCAATGTATATGACAGAAATGGCAGAAAAGCCATGCTCTGATCTGTGAGGGGTTATGTCACCACTTGCCATGCACCCCTGGGGGCCTCACAATGCTTTGCTACGGTAGCTCCCAGCCTGGGCTCCTGCAGGTCACATCCTGGGTGTCTGTGTATAGCCACCGCCCTGGTCTTGCAATTCTGACCCCAGCTGCCTGTGCACAGCCCCACAACCCTACTCCGGCTTCCACCAGCCTGGGTTATAACAAGCAAGGTGACCCCAACACACTCCCCATCCCAAATCTTCCCAAACCCAGGTGCACTGCAATGTCCAGTCCTCTCCTGGACAACTCAGAGAACTAAAAAGGTTTGTTTGTTCCTCTAAAGACACAAAAGCACATCACAGCTTACTAACTTAACTGGGGTAAATACACCCTTCTATTTAAACAGAACACCGAGCTGGTTTATAGTAACAACAACAACACCTGTACTAACAATAGGACACAGGTTAAGGGATGCCAAATAAAAGGAATAAAGTTAGAAAGGGTTGCAAGCAAATAAGCATGAAAATGTGCATCTAAAAGTCTAGAACAATCTAGCAAGGTACAGATGTTGTTCAAGATGGTTTCTCAACTATATTCAGTATATGAGGTACACCATAAGTTGTGATAGGTATGTGTAGGATCCATGGATCTTGAAAGGTGTGTTGATCATCATGGCAGTGGCTATACAGGGGGGAGGGATAGAGCTCAGTGGTTTGAGCATTGGCCTGCTAAACTCAGAGCTGTGAGTTCAATCCTTGAGAGGGCCATTTAGGGATCTGGGGCAAAAATCTGTCTTGGGATTAGTCCTGCTTTGAGCAGGGGGTTGGACTAGATGACCTCCTGAGGTACCTTCCAACCCTGATATTCTATGCCTACAGGTTTTGCGTCTGGTGCTGCTTTGAGTTGGTGTGTCCTGGTCTGTGGGGGGCTTGCCGCTGATGAACTTGGAGAGATTGCAGGGTGGGGGTTGTTTGAAGGCCAGAAGACAGAACTGAAAAAGATTTTTTTCAGGATGGGGTCCCCACTGAGTATGGGTTGTAGTTTGATGATACCTCATGTAGGTTCCAGGTGGCAGGTGACAACTAGGGGTGTGCAGTTGGAGGGGGGTTTATTTCTGTATTAAAGAAAGTTCTCTCAGGGTACTTGGGTAGTCCATTGCATGATGCGATCTACTATTCTGGTGGAGTGTCCTTGTTTGGTGAAGGTGGTTATGTGTATTTAGATGTGTCTCCTGGACTTTCTCTTTGGAGTACATTCTGTGGTATCTGAGTTCCTGGCCATAGAGAAGAGATTTCTTGGTGTGTTTGGTCACATATAACAGAAGTTGGTCCAATAGAAGATATTACCTCACCCGCCTTTTGTCAGGCTCTCTCATGAGATTCAAGGGCTTTCCCTTCCATAACCCAGGTGGGCAGGGGTCTGCGAAGATGGAAACCAAAGTCACCCCAATTATTTCAGACCTTGTGAAAAGTTCAGTTCCTGAGGTTCCAAATGGGCTCACACCAAAAACTGACTACGTGAAGATGATAGCTGACCGTTCCCAGGGAATATGCCCAGAGACGAGACAGATGGGGCAAATTTTCAGATCAATGAACAGTGATTTGTCCATCTAAATCACAATGCTACTAACTTCCATAGTCCCTGCACACTGCTTATGATCATCAGTCCACAGGAAAAAGAAACCAAAGGGGATCCAAGTGTGCTCAAGGGTATGAACCACATGAATATCAGTCATCTCAGTCCAGCACTTAGTACCTTCTGTCTGCTAGTGGCAACCTGGCCAGATCCAAATCCTGAGAGGTGCTGAGGCATTGCAGTCAGTGGGCGCTCTGTGAGTTTGGCTCCTGGGAACTTAGAGGGCCAGCAAGGAGGCGGGATGTTGGGGAGTGGGGCCACTAGCTATCCCCTTAAGAGCACAGGATGCTACTATCACCGAATGTCTGCAGAGAAGGTGAAAAGCCACCCCAGTTCCCATCAATGGATGCTGCATGGGGGGGAAGAGTGTGCCATTTGTGATACTTCTACATTAGGCCCTCCAAATATGGGAATTATCTTGACTCCTAGTCAAGGCAATGACAACCAGAATACTCACTCACAGCAATGCTCTATCTGGGAATCCGGCTACAGGTACTAGCCGTCATCTCATCACAGGCAACGGCAACTGGGTAATACCACCTAGCTCTTCTGTAGCACTTTTCATCAGTAGATCTCAAACCTGCTGGTACCATTCCATGGAGATGCTCCGTACAATAGCTATCAATAAATCGACCTGGTAAGCGTGCGGTGACTGATAACGGGAGGAGTTCCAAGTGGAAATTTCTTGTCTCACAGAACTCCTTTTCAGTAAACACATGCAGGGCCATGACACTGTGGGAGTTACACCCATGACATGCTGGCGTAGAAGACATGAACCTCCCCAAAAGGAGCCAGCCATTCTGTATTTTGCAGAGTGTTGTGCAGTCACTTGTTACGATGTTTCACACTCCCAGACCCAAATCCGTTCCGATTGCCTTTGATTTGTTAAACCGTCTCTCCTGGTTGGGTTATTGCTGTGGGAAAAAAAATCTCCTCAGAGAGAGAGCGAGAGAGAGAGAGTTTTGGGGGACAGATTGGAGATCCTGTTCCGCTGATCAGGAATCTTGGTCATAGGAGAGTTATTTTCCAAGCGCACACAAAGCTGAACAAGAAGTCTTCCTGTTGTAGCTGGAAGTCACTCATGTTTTCTTCCTTTTCCAATATTTTAGTCCTCGTTGGTTAGCACTGCCCTCTAATTACAATGGGCAGACACTAAAATCAACCCTTCTAGCTACATTGCACTCCCAGTTCTCTTGATAAAATCTTCATAAACTTAAAGAAATGAGTTTTCCTAGGATTCACGCTGATTGAATGTGTTCCTGCTGAGCCCAGCATGGGGCTTGCGGGTTGAATCTGGCTCCAGATTTGGGCCTTGATGCTGCTTCCAGACAAACCTTCCAGTGGCTCTGAGGAAACATTCTTTGTAAGTTCTGTCTGGGGCAGATCAGGACTTTCTGCAGATTTTGCTTTTCATGTGACCAGACCCTTGAGTCCTTCATCCTAATAAAGAAATTCTTACTTCAAGGACGGCTTCCTGTGAACTACTTGTAAGAGAATAATTCAATGCTGAGTATGACAAGCGAGGGCTGTGATTACTTTGGAAATCCTGGGAGGGATTCCATAGCTCATGTTAAGTCCTTTTGGAACCAGAGCTATATTCCACTTCAGTTTTACAAAATAATAGGAAAACAGATGTCTTGTCCTTTCTTAGAGTGCCAGGAACACTTGTGAGATTTATGCCTGAAAGCTAACAGTTCTGGTTCGGAGCTGGAGGGACTGATTCACCCGGGAGGTGTGGATCTTTGTGACAACATGCAGCAGAACTAACTTAAAACCAAAAAGCAAGCCTGAACCAAACAGGCAATTCTGTAGCTCACCAAAACTCAGTTTCCCCCACAAATAAGCAACTTCTGTTCTACTGGGAAATGCCCCTTGTCAATGGGAACAGAGAGCAGATATGGTTCCTGCCTCTTGTCAAGAAGGTTTCAGAAGGACCACAGAGTGCATAGGGATTGTCGTACAGTCTTTAGCTATCTGCTCACACGCTATTTGCTCAACTTGGCCTTTGCCTCAGTCAGTGCACAGAACAAACAGCGAAGGAAGAGAACGACAGTCTTGGGTGCTTACGGCATTAGCTCGGGACTCAGGAGAAATGGGCTCTAACCCTGGCTCTGCTACAGTCGGTCTGTAACTAGCTTGGTGAGAGCGGGGAAGTAAGCTGCACCCTCTCCAAGGCTCTCTCTCCGAGGAACAATGTGAGACCCCGAGCTATTCCTGGGGGTCCCAAAAGCCACATCCACCTAGTGCTAGGGAGGGGTCACCAGATGGCGCTGTAGTGTGGTGCAGATTCCTTGGGGAGGCTGATGCTGTCAACAAGGGAATTTGCGCTCTGCGTTATTCACTAATTAGAGGCAGTTGGGGCAGAGTCCCTTGCTGGGAGCCAGGCACTGGCGTTTGGGCCAAGCTCCCCAGAAAAGGGCCTGGCCCGCATACCAGTTGGGACCAGCTCTGTTCAGGAACTGGTGGATGAAAGGAACCAGCTACACCAAGAACATCCCCAGATCCACATCACTGATTTCTCCTGCAACAGGAAACCTGCCTGCAAGGCCCCAGATCTACTGCT